GCTAGGGAGAAGGTAGGAGGGGGAGAAGATCCCCTTCCCCCAGACAAGTGATATTTTAAAAAATTGAAAAAGTAGATGTTTTTTTTTTTCTTTTGCGAAGGAGAGGATTTCCCACGGAATGTAGTATCGCATTAATGGGGTCCCCAGGGCATCCTGCCGCTGGGGACAATTTTTCGGACAATAACGCCGCCACCCCAAAAATCGTCATTCTGCGTCATCCCTCCCCGCCCCCTGCTTAGCCTACATTTGTCTTGCACCTCATTCGACGCAAACTTTTCCAACAACTTCCTTTTACCGGAATCTTCCAAAAGAATTCCAGTTTCCCCCCCGTCTCAAAATTGACGTCCGAGCGGAGGAGAAGGGGGAGGGGTGAGTAATAGTATGCAATGGAACGGAAACTATCACTCCCTCATTAAAGAACCAGCTATCAAAGATAATTATCTCGACATAAGAGTAAGATTTCTCTCCAATCAAGTACGACTCCCGCTGGGGGTTCCAAGTCTGACAAAAGCCCTGATGACACACCTTCTTCGAGATTCCCTTCCACCTGGGAGGCACTGGAAGTAACGGGCACCCCTAAATAGTTCTGGACGCTCCTGTAGCGGTAATCTTCGCGTTAATCCGAACTCACATGCTGTCAGATGGTGATCGATGTGAATTAGCTATTCTTTTCTCGAGCGCCGACGCTCCATATGATAAAGGCGGTCAGCACGTCAATTAATCGTCCTCAACCACCTGCACTCTTATTTACGAGGCTGCTACTGTGCCTTCTGTCCCTTGCCGACCCCTTCCTTATTGGAAACAGCCTAAGCCGTCAAACTGCTCGTGTATGGCATGACGTTTGCCGTCTCGAAGACGTCTCTCGCGAAATTAGGTTTCTCTATTGACAGCAGCGCCTCCACAGCAGCACGCTCTTGCATGCCAAACTGGGTTTAAAAAACCCGGCTCGTCAGATACATTCAGAATTGGGCTGTGCCTCTTCAAGCGTTGTTGTTCAAGTGGGCGACAGGGGAAAAAGAACAGCTTGGGAGTTCTCTGCAGTCAAGGGTCAGTAGAACTTGGACTCGACCCCAAGATTTACTTGCTAGAGGGCCAGCCTTTCAAGGCCCCTTAGGCCAACCGCTGCCAGCCCGACTGTTCTAGAGCAAACATGGCGCGCTGGGCCAGGTTGACCAGGCATTTCACCCCTCCATGAAGAAATAAGTGGTATCAGGAGCATCAAATAACGTGCGAGGACAGACTGACGATCATCTAAGATCACCTATGCCTTTAAATCCCTCTGCAATCCTGAATAGAAACCAGCTGTATGGCTCATCCCAAGAAAAGAGCCATACAGCCAGTTGATCATCGCCAAACAAATTCGAGTTTTTTTTTTCCACCAAGCATTTTGAAACCATCTTCGGATCAAAAAAACAAACGAGAATTTTAGACGTTTGGCAGAGCATGACAGAAGCGGACCTTCGCTGGCCGGTCTCAGCACCACTTAATAAGACCCCAGTTCCAGCCGTCGTAGCTGTTTTGCTGCGTAGACTGAAGAGATGCTCTAAATTACTGGAGCGTTCAGTCTTTTTTACTATGTGAGAAAAACTCACTTCCCTGATTGAATTTCCAAGCACTCCTTCAGTAATCGCTCTCCCTTGAGACTTCCTCCTCGGCACAATCTCAGCTCGCCAGCATAGCCATTTCTAGCGCGGGTTAATAGCGGAAGAGTCCGTGCGGCAGCGACAGCAGCAACGGCGCGGTTGCCCATGCCGAATGACACTCAACGACGAGAGGAAAACAAGAGGTCATCCAGTGCTCTAGACACCTGGCTTGACGTTCTTATGGCATAAGAGGAGACGGATTAGGCACAAGTACTTGGACGGAACACCTTTAGGTGCTCAAGAACTCCGCTTCTGACATGAAAAGATGTTTGAGAGCTTAGAGTTATTGATTGAAGGATAGAGGGCCAAAATCAAGGCCTGATTCATCTCGAGTGGGCATGCCTAAGCACATCAGAATCTGACCAAAGTCCGGAAATTCCGACCGGAAGTATGCTTGAAAAAATCTTTTTTTGCTTCTCAAAGCGGAAAACGATAGTCTCTCGGAGTCCTTGTTACCTCCAGAGTACGTTAACGCTATTCTCCTTAGGCCACTATTCGAATTTGGCTTAACTTCGCAATTAGAAATGCGTACCCAGTGGCAATTTCGGCCAGGAACTTCACCCTGGAAGTTAGTTAAGCTCTTGAGTATAACACCCCATTGGCGCAAGGAATCTTGGAACCCAATTGAGTCCTGATTTGTTGCGCGAAATATATCCAAGCTATTACCGTTCGTATCAGGATCTCACAAGAATCCTACGATAGCCTTTGGCCCAGTGTCAGACCTCTCCGGAATAAGCATTCTCAAGGATCTGGCCTGTGCTCAGCAAGCGCACAGGGCCTAGTGGCTGCATCGGAACTGAACTGCTATAAATTAAGGCCGACCAGAGTCACCCAGCGGTCAACAGGAAGACAGGTGATGCAGGTGGCAGGTGACTGTTGTTTCTTTGACGTTTCCTTCCCTGTCAGAGGTTCCTGGGTGGTAATAAGCCCGAAGAGTGGTGGTAATAAGTCTAAAAGGCGGATAAGCACGATTTCCCTACTTCAGGGGAGGAATTCTACTAGTCAAATCCAGCAGCCGGTTAATATCAGTTACCAGCGACTGTCGATTATCAACATCAGCGCTTACCCAGTCACAATCAGTTCAGTCAAAAGGAACCACCTCGCAACTCATCCTTTCCTTTTTCATTCATATTTGTTCTAAGACTTTCTGTCTTCATTACTTATTCCCAGCTTCTTAGTGTACAGGGGGGGCCATAAAAAAAAAGACTTTTTTCTTCCTCGACTTTCGAGGCGCTATAACTACACTTTATTAAATTCTTATCGGACACTTCTACCACTATATTAAAGAGCATATTAAATACTATCATGATACTCCGCCACAGCCTTCTGGAGGAGCGCCATCGAGAGATTCTGCCACGCGACCGTCAGTGGGTGCGTGAGTTCAAATCGACGATCCCTTGATTCTCCCGCCACTGAGACCACCTATTTTAACTCCGCCCGAGCCAAGTAATTGATGGGGTTTAGTTCAGGTTACCTGCTTAGATATTCCACCTTCCTCAGGTACTCAGCCCCCTTCCTTTCCAAGTAGGCGAGAGTTTCTCCAACGCCCTTCGATTCCACGTGGTGGCACCCAATGCTGTAGCAGTACAAAGTTTCCAAGAAGGTAGGCGGCGACATGTGGGGAGGATATTCTTTTTCTTTCAGCTTGCCTCGATGTAACCCGCCAGCGCTCACACTTTAGACCGGGGCCCACGAAGAAAATATCGGTCTCTCCATTCCCAGGTACGTCCGGTCCCCACCATCAACTGGCGCCTTGGCGACTGAGGTGAAGATGATGTCCTGGACCGTAGCGACGTTGGCGGAGCTGCTTGATGTTAGGGGTCTTCCAGATCGATAGTACTGATCTCCAGGTAGCTATCCATGGGTGACTCCATACAAGAAGTTCGCAGCTGTTCGGAGGTGACATGAATTCCGAAGGTCTTCTCCAGTCAGGTTGCCGCTGGAGATGACTTCATATTTTGGTGTACATCAAGGTGATGGGCGAGCGCCAGCTCCTGCCATAGAGGAACATCTTGGGTATCTTCCGCCCTGGTACTCGTATCCCCGTTCTCTGTCTGGGCTGCGAAAACTTTGCTGATATGTGACTCGGTAGAAATGTCTTTTTTTTTTTGGCCCCCCCTGTATATTTCAACATGGAA